ACCCAGGCACCCTGTTGCCAAATTAAATTGGAATTTTGGGGTACCTGGGTGGCTCAGTCTGTAGAACATATGATTCACGATCTCAGGGTTGTGAGTTCTAGCCCCATGTTAGGCGTAGAGCTTACTTAACAACAACAACAAAATTAAATTGAGGCTTTCAGATGATTTCTTGGGTGGCACTTCCCTTGCCCTTTGTTAGAGCTTGTTCATCTCTTCCAGTGTTTATGTTTGTCTTTCTGGGTGGACTGGAGCGGGGACTGAGTTGGATTTCTTACTCCTAATTTCCAGCACAATGCCTTACCGATAGTACTAACTAATCATTTATTGAATGATTTAATGTGAAATCGAAAAACAAATGCTGCCACCCCAGAACAGTGGTAGGAAGATTGGAGATGGGACACAAAAGTCAAGTTAGTCCTTAGTCTTATTCTTTGTGATACCAGGGAGTGAAACCTCAAACAAGTGGGTCAGAGTTAGAAACAGGTTTTTAGTTCATTTGTAAGGAAGACCTTCTGACAATTCAGCCTCAAGAGTAATTGTTTCCTTCTTTTCTTTTCAGCCACTGGGAATAGTTTGCTCATCTTCATTCATTTACTGCCTCGTTCCCACAGTCCTCCTGTATTTTAGTAGGAAGCCTCCTTGGGTACCTGAGGAGAATTTGTGTGGTGAAAGAATTAATTTAGAAATCAAGCAGACTTGAGCTTTTTGTTCTGGGGCTTGTCACTTGGCACCTGAACCTTAGCCAAATTATGCTAAGCCTAATTTTCTCATTTGTGATAATAGAATTATCTATTATCTAGGGGTGCCTGGCTGGCTCAGTTGGTGGAGCATGCAACTCTTGATCTCGAGGTTGTGAATTTGAGCTCCGCATTGGGAGAGATTGCTTAAAAAATAAAATCTTTGGGGTGCCTGGGTGACTAAGTCGGTTAGGTGTCTGACTCTTTATCTCAGCTTAGGTTGTGATCTCATGGTTTGTGGGATCGAGCCCTGCATCCAGCTCTTCATTAACAGCATGGAGCCTGGTTGGGATTCTCTCTCTTCCTCTCTCTCCCTTCTTAGCTCGCACGCCTGTGTTCTGTCTCAAAGTAAATAAACGTTAAAAAAATAAAATCTTTAAAAGAAGAATTATTAACAGCTAATAACTCTTTTATAGTCCTTACTTTGTACCAGCCCTGTGCCCCTTACATGGATTATCTCATTTAATCCTCACACCTGCTGCCTGGAGATAGGTACTATTACCACCACTAACCCCTTTTAAGGAGAGGAAACAAATTCAGAGGGGTAATTTACCCAAATTCATTCAGCTAGTAAAGGATGGATCTGGGGATTCAAGCCCAAGCATTTAATCCCATTACATTATGTTACATACATGGTGTCTGTAAAAGGGAGCTGTCCCCCTGCATAAAGTCTGACAAATGCTAGTAGCTCAGTGAGTGTTCAGTGCCACTCTGCCTTTTTGTTTGGCATCACTTTTTTTAAAATTTCTTTTATAAGTTTATTTATTTATTTATTTAGAGAGAGGGAGAGTGCGCGCTCATACTTGCACCCTGGAGTGTGTGAGGGAGGGGCAGAGGAAGGAGAAAGGATCCCCAGATCAGGAGTTGCATGCTCAGGCACCTGGGTGGCTCAGTTGTTAAGCATCTGACTTCGGTTCAAGTCATGATCTCACAGTTTGTGAGTTCCAGTCCCACATCAGGTGAGCTCATGGCCCTGCTTCAGGTGAGCCCCTCTTCTATCTTTCTGCCCCTCCTGGGATTCTCTCTTTGTCTGCCCCTCACTCACTTGTGCGTATGCTCGCTCTCTCTCTAAAAAAAAAAAAAAAAAAAAAAAAAAAAAAAAAAGTTGTTTGCTTTACCTACTGAGCCAGCCAGTATCACATTTTCATATAATCTGGGAGGCCAAACTGTTAATCTGTATATTACCTATTGTGCATGAAGTCAGAGGTAAAAAGATGATTTGAGTGGTATTTGGGCCAAGCCAAAATGAAGACTTTTATACTGATTGGATTTACTTATATCAGATTTGATATTTTCCTGGAGAATGTTAGGTAAAGCCAGTCAAACCTCTGACTCTCCCTTTCCTAGGGTCCTTATAGTGGAAACACTCCTTAACATAATAACTTTTCAGTTTATTAGAATGTTTCAGCTTCCTTAAACTGTCAACCATTTCTGCCTTCGTTTGACTTGGTTTGCAGCTTTCCCCAGTATCAGCTTATCAGAATTGGTTGTTTAATGCTTAACTCATCCTTCAAATTACATGTTTTTGTTTTTTTCTTGGAGTATTTCCATTGTGAAAAATTTTAAATTTATGAAACTGTTTGAAAGGAAAAGAACAGGGACACCTAGTTGGTTCAGTTGGTAGAGCATATGCCTCTTGATCTCAGGGTTGTTAGTTCCAGTCCTATGTTGGGTAGAGCTTACTTAAAAAAAAAATAAAAAGAAAACAATCACCTATAGCCCCCCCCCCCC